TCTTTTAATTTATCTTTAACTAATATTTATGTCTTTCAACTTTTGATGTACATAAATCAAAATTTAAATTTGTATAAAATTAAACAAGTAAATCCACATGTTCGTGATAATTGTGTGAGATACACTCAAACTGATTTGTATTATATTATGTAGAATGTGTGTATCTACTTGTTGGTGCATGCCTTATATATGGTGTTAGCTTATAACATGTATTTCAAAGGTGGTGAAAACGTCATGTTCAGTTTTATACAAATTTAAATGCACTGCTTCGATTGTGAGTTATTTGATTGTTATTGGAAATGGATAACTCAATACATAGAGTTCTCTAATTCTGGTCCTATATCATCATTATCACTTGACATTGCTATTGGCATCTCTCTCTAATAATAATAAAAATAAAACATCATATCATTTTAAATGCGTAACAACACATTCTGTTGTGATCTAAAGTTTATTCATTAATTACTTGCCAAATTAAAAATTACAAGAAATAATCTGACTTTCCTAGAGTGCATAAAACTTCAAATGCAACAAAGGGAGAACTAGTAATCCAAATTATTAATTGGTTAAAGAGCTTATTTGGATTGATTTATTATAATTAATGAAATGATCTTTCCTAATAAAGTACTAACTAAATTATTAGTAAATTTGAGAATTTTATTAAGGAAATATACAAAGATAAAAAGATGATTATAATAATATTCACACACCTGAACAAATTGAAGTGAACAAAAAAAACTTATAAAAAGGATGATTTACTTGGAGATGAAGCAAAGTTACGTGAGAAAAGAACTTCGATAAAATAAAAACAATGATGTAGGCATGTGGTTGGATGACAATTTCCTTAACGGGTTAAAAAAACAGGTCATATGATTGACCCATCCAGGCAATCACCTAACCAATCCCTACCTTTTTATTAAACTCATCATTCAATATAAATTTTAAATTATTTAAAAATAATTATTTTGCCATGTTAAATTTTTTTTAATGATAAATTTACTTCAATGATTTTGGATGATAAAAATCCTAAATGAAGGGATTATATTGGTACAAAATAAACTTTAATAATTTTATTAAATAACTTTTCATAATTAAGTAACGTTTTAAGTTATCATTTGCGATAAATTTATTAGGTTAAATTGAATTTAATTGAATTATGGTATGTGAAATTTGTTTTTGAGACGCAACGCATCTTTATTCCATCTTGAATTATTTGATTCTTGTTGAAATGGACAACTCAAGACATATAGTTGTGTAATTCTTGTCCCATATCATCATTCACTTGACAATCTCCAAGAGGCAACATGAAAAGTAAAGCACCAACAAATTTTGCAAAGTAGGAATGAATAAGATTTTTTGTATTTTAATCATGAGTGACTCCATGTATGCTAGAATTTATTCATAAATTTTGAGAGAAATATTTAATATAAGTATTTTTGAAAAATATGATTTATATCTATAAGTTTTATAAATTATTTAAAATATTTTTAAGTTTCTATTGTCATTTTATAATGAACATGTTCCATTAAAAAGTAGTAATATTATAACAGGATTGATAACAATCAACAACAACAAAATAATACATTAATTGCATAATCAAATTTGTCACTGATTCAGGATGAATTATATTCCATTAAAACAAATTATTCTTTTTTGAGTACATTTTGTATAGATAGATAACAGAGAGGAATAATTATTAGTGTAATAGAGTTATTTGGTGAATATGTACTTCAACTGTTCCTAATTACTTGTTCATTTTTCCTTTTTAAGTTGTCCCTAATTACTTGTTCATTTTGACAAATCAAGAAAGGACAAATTTTTAACCTATTATACCCTCAATTGATTATTTTGAAAAAAGTAGAAATTCTTGAAATCTTAAATTTTTAATTCATCCACTTTATAATTAATAGGGGTAAAATGGTAAACTCACTATGTCAGCATCATTTTCTTAATAGGTGTGTCATTTTAAAAGTGGACAAATAATTAGGGACAGAGGGAGTATTAGTTGGAATTAATAACTGATGAGTATTTTTTTTATAAAATATAAAAGTTTAAGGTAATTTTTCAAAAATTCCCAAATATTAGAACTTGGTCCAAATACTCTTTTTCTAGGACTTGGAAACTTGGGATATTTGACAAATATATTTGCCAGGTAATAGCAAGTTGAATGGCCAAACACCAATTTTCAAGTTCTTCCTAACTTTTTACAAATATATTTGGGACCAAACAGGTGGTAAACATCAACATTTATCTCTGACCTTAGTATTGTAAGTTCGAGTAGTGACAAATTCAAAATTTTCATTAAAATCTAAGAAAGTTCAAAAAATAAAAATATAGTTCATATAGTTTGTACTTGCAACCTCAAAGAAAATTTTAAACCCCTAAATCACCCGCATAGCCTTTTTATTGGGTAAAATACATCAGGATACACAGGTTGACAAATTAACCTCTAATCTTATTTTTAAGGAACATAATATATATATATATATATAACTTTGTAACATCCTAACTCTTTAAATCTGCCTCTAAATACGAGTCATTAAAAAAAGAAAAAAGTTAGAAGTACCTAAGGAGGAGCTAAGAAAAAGAACGTCTTCCACCTTAAATGGTAGGAGCAAAGAAAAAGAATGACTTCCACCTTAAATGGACCTTACATGTTGCAAACTCAAATTAATCAGAGTCCAATACTAATATCAAATATCGAACAAAACAAAATTTTTAAAAAAAAAACTTTGAAAAATAATAGAAGAATAAAAGAATTGGCATGATAAACGTGGGCCATATTATAGAAATGAAATGAAGAAAGAATATTGTGTGTCCTGTGACGAATGAAAGAGCCGTAGCTACCGTTGCCACCGCCCAAAGCCGCCCCACTTTTTTTAAAAGCTCACCAACCAAACTGGATATGTATTCTACTTTATTTATTTTATATATTTATTCTATTTTACACATAAGCCACATTTTGGCAACAAGCATTGAGTGTGTAGATAGATGCTGACCAACATTTACTCATTTATGATATTTAAAGTATTGCACTTTTTTAATTTTGTGTTCGATATTTATATTAAAATTTGATTAGATTTGAATTTATATCGAAGAGTTTTATATTTAGAGATAAACACTTCCTAACAAAAGCGACTTCGTATCCAGAAAAACTCGAATCCAAAACCTCTTAAGAATGAAGGAGTATTGATCATCACTTTATATAATCTGATCACTCAAAAGATAGTGATAAATAAATTTTATTGGTAATATTAAAAAATAGTTCATTACATATTATAACTAAAAATTATATCGATAGTGTAAAAACATTATTTTTAATAATTAGTATTAATTGATAATAAAAAATTAAGTTATTCATTACTCGCTTCGTTCCAAAATAAATAATGTGTTTAACTTTGATATAATCCTTAGAGAAACTATTCAATCCAAGAAAATAAGTGTTTTACTAATTTATCCTGATTAAAGAAAAATTAATTAGAGATTCTTGATTAGGTAAACAAAGATAATTTTGGAAGACAGATTAATTCCTTCTTGAATATTTTTTGAAAAGAAGGGAGAATAAATTACATAATTAAAATAATATTATACCAGTAAATTAAATCACTATTTTAAAGAGGTTTATTTCATCATTTTTCAACGATGCATTTAATTTTTGCGCATAATTTATTAGTCCATTGTCTACTTATGTCAACGTTAACATTTTACTGACGCAACTTTCTTCTTCTTTTTTTAAGTGACTTTCTTGTTAACGTTTATAAGTTGGGGAGCTAGGCAAGTCGGAAGTACTGTATAGTTTTGAAGGGATAGAATTATTCGTCCTTAACTAGATATGTTAGGCTTTAATTTAAAAAAATAAAAAAAATTATATCAAAAAAAATATTTTTATTTAGTAAATTTCAGGTGATGCAAATTAAAATTAGTAACCATTATAAAATTGGAAAAGAGTTGAATAGATGCGCATTTATTAGAGTCAACTTTTGGTTCATTATAGACAACGGCATCTTCTAAATCCCAAGGTTGATCTCGTCATTTACTCGGTTTCGCGGTATAAGTCCAATATATAAATATGTCTTTTAATTTAGTTTTAGATAATTTTATACCTTTAATTTGACCGTGTATAAATAAACACTTAAATTTATATAAAATTGAACAGGTTAATACGCACATTATACGTACGTAGAACGTCACATAGGATATGTTAATTGCCACATAGGGGGTGTCAAGTATGACGTGCATGCCTAGTTATTCAATTTTGTAGGAATATAGTCTATATATCCACATAAAAAGTTAAAGAACATAAATATCAGATAAAGTCGAAACATAAAATTGGACTGACGTTACTCCTAACTGCGCCAACTTTTTGTCTCTTTCTTGTCCTTTTACCCTTGCTTTCCTCTTCTTCTTCTCCTATACTATTACACACTTTTAGCTCCTCCATACAACAGTAGGTATAATCACAGCTAAGCGTATCAAAGAGCCAGTTTTTTTTTTTCCCAGAGAGATCTAACTGCAAAAATGGGTTGATTTAGAAAAACCCAAATCAAGTAATTAAGGAGTTGTTGTTCACTTTTGCGGCTGATAATCCCACTTTTGATTTCATTTTCATGGTAATTTGGATTTTCCTCCATGATCATCTCAGTTGTTTTTTGTAGCTAAAATCTGTTCAGTTCAAGTTTTTATTGACTTTTAGTCAACCCCTTTATGGAATTTTAGTTAATTCTTATTCAATCTATGATTTTTGACTTTTGCTTCTGGATTAAGGAACTATTTAACCTAGTTTTTTTCCCCTTTGTTTGATTCAGTGATCTGCAGATTTTGCTTAATTTTTCATGTTAAAAGAGACCATTTTGATTTGATACCAGCTTTTTATGTTAAAGTTTCTTGGACTAGACCAAAATTTCATTTTAAACTGTGTTGTTTTGTTCATTAATATTTTGCTTCTTGTTGTTGTTATCTACAGGGACTAATATAGAACAAGACTTATAGAATCGATCAGTGAGCATTGAATTGGGTGTTCAAAGTTATAGTATATTTGTTTTGGAAAGCCATATTTTTTTTCCTTGGCTTACATTTGCTGAGTTTGGAGGGAATTTGAGGAGAAATCTGTCTTATTTGTAATATAAACTTGGGAAGATGGCTGCTTTGTCGCATCAAGATTCTCGACGTATGTACTCTTGGTGGTGGGATAGTCATATCAGCCCCAAAAACTCAAGATGGCTTCAGGAGAATCTCACAGGTACTGCTGTTTTCTTTCTTTGGTTGTGTACAACTCCTTCATTGTTTGGTTATGCTAGAGTTATCTTAGGAGATATCTAAGTTTTCATCAATGGAAGAATTAATTATTCTAGCTCGACCTTCGTTTCCTTTTAACGAGAGCTTACTTAGCATGAAGCATTGATTTCCTGCCCATGTACAATATGAATTCATTATTGTTTAAGTCGTTGTGGATATGATTGGGGAGAGCTCTTGGTGAGTTAGATCAAATGTACTACTCCTTTTTTTTTTATGGAAGTTCGCGTGATCTCCATCAGATTACAGAAATGGTAACATCATGTTACCAGTATAAAAAGAGTTGCATAAATAGTGACATCTGTTATTCACAAAGTGGAATTGTTGTTTGATTCTTAAGATGCTCTAGATGGCCTTGAAACCTCAACGATTGTGCATGTCAGTTTATAGATTTTGAATATAACATTTCTTGAAATGATTCAGCAACCATGAAAATGTGGATTCTCTTTTTCCTCTTAAGTAATTCTTTCTTATATGGTGTTTCTGAATTACTGCTAATACAATTGTTGTTCACTTTGCTAGATATGGATGTCAAGGTTAAAGGAATGATCAAACTCATAAATGAAGATGCTGATTCTTTTGCAAGGAGAGCAGAAATGTACTATAAGAAACGTCCAGAGTTGATGAAATTTGTAGAAGAATTCTATAGAGCATACCGTGCATTGGCTGAAAGATATGATCATGCAACTGGTGTGATCCGGCACGCCCACCGGACCATGACAGATTTAGGACTTGGAGATGATTCACCTGCAGGTTCTGATCCTCAAACACCAGAGCTATCGCCAATGCTTAGTCTTTTTGACCTTGAAGAGCTGCAGAAAGATGCTCTTGGAGTCGCTGCATCTAATACTCATGATCTCAAGAGCAATGGAGGATTCACAGATGAGTCACACTCAGTGATGAAAAGAAAAGTATTCAAGCAGCGCAATAATTTGTTTGGAGACCAGGGAAGGTTTGCTGACGGAAGGGTTAGGAAGGGTCTGAATTTTAGTGAGGCAGACGAGAAAGTAGTGCAGACCAATGAGAGCAACAGTTTCCAAACTCGAGCACTTCCAGATTCAGAGCGCATGGTTGAATCTGAGGAGATTCTGAAGTTAAAGAAAGCACTTTCCCAAGTGGAAGCAGAGAAAGAAGCAGGCCTTATCCAGTACCAACAGACATTGGAGAAATTATCTCACCTGGAGTCAGAAGTTTCTCGTGCCAGAGAAGATTCCCGAGGATTTGGTGAACGAGCAAGCAAAGCTGAAGTTGAAGCCCAGACCTTACGGGATGCACTTTCTGCATTGGGAGCTGAAAAGGAAGCTAATCTTAAGCAGTATCAGAAGTCCTTAGACATGATTTCTGAGTTGGAGAATACTGTGTCCCATGCACAAGAGAACTCTGTTGCAGTTGGTGAAAGAGCTAGCAAGGCTGAACTTGAAGGCCAAACTTTAAGAGAAGATCTTGCAAATGTAGCAGCTGAAAAAGATGAAGCTCTTAAGCAGTACATGCAATCTCTTGAGATGATAGCAAATCTGGAGAACAAATTGCAGTGTGCTGAAGAAGATGCCAAAAAATTAACTGAGAGAGCTGAAAAAGCAGAAAATGAGATTGAATTTCTCAAACAGGAAATCCTAAAATTCACTGGGGAGAAAGAAGCTGCAGCTCTGCAGCTCCAGCAATGCTTGGAAACCATCTCCACTCTAGAGCATAAGCTTTCTTGTGCCAAAGAGGAGTCCCAAAGGTTGAATGCAGAGATCAATAACGGAGTTGCCAAGTTAGAAGATGCAGAAGAGCGCTGCCTTTTGTTAGAAAAATCCAATAAATCTCTTCATTCTGAGCTGAAATCTCTGACACTGAAGATGGGTGTGCAAAATCAAGAGCTTACAGAAAAGCAGAAGGAACTGGGAACGTTGTGGACTTGTGTACAAGAAGAACGTTTGCGTTTTGTTGAGGCTGAAACTGCTTTCCAAACTCTGCAGCATCTTCATGCCAAAGCTCAGGAAGAAATGAGGGCTCTTGCTTCAGAGCTTCAGAATCGGTTACAGGTGTTGAAGGACTTAGAAACGCATAATCAAATTTTGCTGGGTGAAGTCCAGAAGGTTAAAGAGGAGAATAAGAGCCTTGGTGAAATAAATGTATCTTCAGCTATATCCATAAGGGATATGCAAAATGAGATATCCAGCTTAAGTGAAGCGAAGGGGAAACTCGAGCTAGAGGTTGAGCTTCGAATGGACCAAAGAAATGCTCTTCAGCAAGAAATCTACTGCCTTAAGGAAGAACTTAATGATCATAACAAGAAACTATTATCTATTGTGACACAGGTGCAGGCAGTGGGCCTTGATCCAGAATGCTTTGAATCATCTGTGAAGGAGCTGCAACGTGAAAAGTCAAATCTTGGAGAAACCTGTGAGAGGGAAAGAAGTGAAAAAATAGCTCTTCTGGAGAAGCTACAAGTGTTCGAAGAGCTTCTTGTGAAAAACTCCATTCTGGAAAACTCTCTGTCAGATTTGAGTGCTGAACTAGAAGCTGTGAGAGGCAGTTTAAAGGCATTAGAAGACTCTTGTCAATCTCTTCTACAGGACAAATCTGCACTTCTCAATGACAAAGTTACTTTAACTAGTGAGTTACAGGTAACAATTGAGAATCTGGAAGAAGTCTCAGCTAAGAATACTGTTCTGGAAAATTCCCTTTCTGATGCTCATGCGGAACTTCAAAGCTTAAAGGTAAAATCAAAGAGCTTAGAGGAATCATGTGATGTACTAGTCAAAGAGAAAGCAGATCTTGGTCGTGAAAAGGAAAATCTATTTTCTCAATTGCAAGCTGCACAAATTGCACTGCATGATCTAGAGGGAAAGTATTCAGGACTGGAACAAAGACATTCAACCTTGGAGAAAGAGAAGGAATTGACACTTCGTGCATTTGAAGAGCTGTGGGTTTCTTTGGATGCAAAAAACTGTGAACATGACAGTTTTGTCCACACGACTGGGGTACAGTTGGCTGGCATGGAATCAGAAATGCATGTTTTGCAGGAAGAATGTCAATTAAGAAAGCAAGATTTTGATAAGCTTCTAGAAAAAGCTATTGAGTCTGACATTCTCAACTTCACCTTACAGACATCTTCCCAAGATCTTGAAGGAATGGGCTCTTCTTTGCTGGGTGAGTATCAGAAGCTTTTTGAAGCATCTACATTTTCTAAAACTTTGATTTCTGATTTAAAGCAGAAGAATGTTGAACAAAAAATGGAAATGACATCCTTGTTTGATCAAGTTAGTATTCTGAGAAATGGGATATTCAAGTTGCTGAAGGCTCTTGATATTGTTCCAAACCATGCATGTCAGGACAGGAAAGACCAAGTACATCTTGACCATATTTTTCATAGAGTTGAAGTTTCTAAAGAATCCTTCAACAGAACTGAGGAAGAAAATCATCGGAGGGCTATTCAGATGAATGTTCTTGTCACATTGCTGGAGCAAATAAAATTAGAGGTGGAAGCTCTTGATGCTGAAAAAACAATTATTATCCAGGAGTCGAATTTCAAATCGGAGCAATTATTGGCGTTGCAGAGTGAAGCCGCTGCACTCAAGGAGGTTGGTGAAGAACTGAAATTGAAAATAATGGAGACAAGTCATAGAGGGGAACTTCTAGAAATTGAAAATTGTAACCTGGCAAAAGCATTGCAGTTGGCAGAAGATGAGTTGAAGACTGTTAAAAGTATGATGGATCAGCTCAATTTTCAAGTAGTTGCTAGCAAAAATCTGATGTCTGAAAAGGACACTGAGCTTCAAGGAATGGAACAGAAGCTTTATCTTACTGAAACTGAGAAAGTTGTGTTGCATCAAATTTTGATGAATGAAGTCGCTGCACTCAAAGAGGGTAGTGAAGAACTGAAATTGAAAATAAGGGAGAAGGATCGCAGAGGGGAACTGCTAGAAATTGAAAATTGTGACCTAGCAAAAGCATTGCAGTTGGCAGAGGATGAGTTGAAGACTCTTAAAAGTATGACGGATCAGCTCAATCTTCAAGTAAATGTTGGCAAAAATCTGTTGTCTGAGAAGGACACTGAGCTTCAGGGAATGGAACAGAAGCTTTATCTAACTGAAACTGAAAAAGCTGTGTTGCATCAAATTTTGATGAATGAAGTTGCTGCACTCAAAGAGGGTAGTGAAGAACTGAAATTGATAATAAGGGAGAAAGATCGCAGAGGGGAACTGCTAGAAATTGAAAATTGTGGCCTAGCAAAAGCATTGCAGTTGACAGAGGATGAGTTGAAGACTCTTAAAAGTATGACGGATCAGCTCAATCTTCAAGTAAATGTTGGCAAAAATCTGTTGTCTGAGAAGGACACTGAGCTTCAGGGAATGGAACAGAAGCTTTATCTTACTGAAACTGAGAAAGCTGTGTTGCATCAAATTTTGATGAATGAAGTCGCTGCACTCAAAGAGGGTAGTGAAGAACTGAAATTGATAATAAGGGAGAAAGATCGCAGAGGGGAACTGCTAGAAATTGAAAGTTGTGACCTAGCAAAAGCATTGCAGTTGGCAGAGGATGAGTTGAAAACTCTTAAAAGTATGACGGATCAGCTCAATCTTCAAGTAAATGTTGGCAAAAATCTGTTGTCTGAGAAGGACACTGAGCTTCAGGGAATGGAACAGAAGCTTTATCTTACTGAAACTGAGAAAGCTGTGTTACATCATATTTTGAAGAGTGAAGTTGCTACACTCAAAGAGGGTAGTGAAGAACTGAAATTGAAAATAAGGGAGAAAGATCACAGAGGGGGACTGCTAGAAATTGAAAATTGTAACCTGGCAAAAGCATTGCAGTTGGCAGAAGATGAGTTGAAGACTGTTAAAAGTATGACGGATCAGCTCAATCTTCAAGTAAATGTTGGCAAAGATCTGTTGTCTGAGAAGGACACTGAGCTTCAGGGAATGGAACAAAAGCTTTATCTTACTGAAACTGAGAAAGCTGTATTGCATCAAATTTTGAAGAACTTGAGCAGAGAACTTATTGGGAGTAAAATAATTATGGAGGACCAAGAAAAGAAGATCCTAAAGTTGTGTGCTGACAGTAACCAACTGCGCACAGAAAACATGCACCTTTTTGAGGCCAGTCAGCTATTGCAGGAAGGGCTTCAGCAATCAGGTGGTGAGCTTGAAAAGCTAAAGATGCAAGAGGAAGCGTTGCACTCTGAGCTCCAGAAGCAATTGAATGAGATTAAGACATGGAAGTTAGAGATGGATGTGCTTTTAGGCGAGTTGCAGGTCTCGATGTTCTACCATATCCTTTATGAGCAGAAGATTCATGAGCTTGCAGAAGCATGTCAAAGCTTTGATGTCCAAATCACTTCAAAGGATAAGGATATTAAACTTCTGAAAGAAAAAGTGAGCACTTTGGGTACTGAAAATGAAGACCTTAACACTCAGTTAGCTGCATATGGACCTGCAATCTTCTCTTTGAGCCAATGCATATCATCCCTAGAGAAGCACTCCTATTTGCATGGGAAACCCAAAAAGCCTGATAATGAGGACACAAAGGTAACTGCTTCTACATTAATGTCCCCTGCTTGACTTCTTTTAGCTGGACAGTAAAATAAGTAATATCATATTAGAAAGCTTTTGAAATTAATCTTGTCCGTTAAAATGCTAATTGGCTACTGATATGTGATATGTATAATGTATGTGTGTCTCTGTATTATATGCCACAAGTTGTTCCTCACTTGTAGAAAGATACATTCTCAATTGTATCGCGTGAATTTATTAACTGTTGTATCATCCGTTTTCCTCTCCATCCGTGTGGTAAGTTGCAATGGTACTCTCGTCACCAGGGCCCTGTTTTTTCCCATCTTGCATTTTCCTCCTAAATCATGTTGCATCCTGTCTAGGTTGCCTTAGAATACTTTCTTTAAGCAGTCTTAGGTTTGTTGGTTTCATACATCGTACTTTTAACAATGACGTGAACACATCTTAAGAGCCTGCTAATTTTCATAGACACAGTAATTAATATGTGATGGACCTCGATATTTGGCATGGACAATATGATGATCAGAATTAGTTATTTTTTCCTAGGATTTAGTGACAAGAAGCTTGATTTCCCCAAGTGACGCTAAATCTCATAGTGTAGGGTAAAAATACGAGACACATTGTAAACATTTGTGTACAAAAGTGGACCCATGCATGATGCTTCTGCAATATGAAATTTCGAGAAATTAGATCAACGCAGACTTAGCACTGCATTCTAAAGGTTATTTTGAAGATTTAGACCTATCAATATGAAGAAATTAAGGTTTTCTTTTTTCCTTGTATATGTGAGATAAAGATTATCATCTTGGCTTATTTTCAGGACATTGTAGTAGCTCCTACAGATGACAGCACTCGTTTGAAAGACAATGAAAATGCAGTGACAACCGATGCATTTTTTGATCTGCATGGATTGGAAATAAGGGTTCGAGCTGTTGAGAAGACATTGGTTGAAATGGAGCAGCTTGTGGTGAAGGAAAATGTGAACATGCATAGCAAACTACAGGCTGCAATGCAACAAATTGAGGAGTTAAAGTCAGAGAGTAGCCGACATAGAAGAAATTCAGCTCCTAAATCTGAAATCTTTGAGGCAGAAAACGGAATCCTCACCAAGGACATCATGCTTGACCATGTATCTGAGTGTTCATCCTATAGAAATGGCAGGAGAGAGCAGGATAATCTAGTTTTTGACCTATGGGATACTACCAGTCCTACTGCTGGTAAAGCAAAGTTGGATGATACTCCAAATGCTGAAAATGATATTGATTTCCATAAACGTGTTATATCAGTGAAGAAAAAGTGCCAACGTCCTGCCTCAGATGTGCTAAGTGAGAAGTATTCAGATGAGGGCAAACTGAACATCTCAAAGAGATCAACAGAGTCCATTCAAGAGGGAAACAAGAGGAGGGTCTTACAGAGGCTTGATTCTGATGTGCAGAAATTAACTAACCTTCAGATCACAGTACTAGACTTGAAGAGGGAACTTGAGATTACTGAGAAGGGAAAAAGGGGTAAAGCTGTAGCTGAATCAGACACTCTCAAAGGACAGCTAAATGAAGCTGAGGCTGCTATTCACAAGTTATTTGATCTTACTGGTAAGTTGATGAAGAACATGGAAGACAGCTTTGGTTCTGCTGATATGAAATCTGCACTGGAGTCTGAAGAGATTGGAAATGTTAGTAGGAGGAGATATTCAGAACAGGCACGGAGAATATCTGAGAAAATTGGGCGGCTGCAATTAGAAGTTCAGAAGTTGCAGTTTGTTTTACTGAAACTCAACGATGAAAGCAAAGGAAATAGTAGGGTCCCGGAGACAAAAAGAAGGGTTCTACTACGAGATTATCTCTATGGCGGGGTTAGGAAAAGCAACAACAAGCGAAAGAAAGCATCATTTTGTGCATGCATCCAGCCTCCAACTCAGGGAGATTGAAGTTTTAACTAAGGTGTGCAGTTTACATATGTTAGTTAACTAGTTTATAGTTCATTTTTCACTTGTGTCCATATTACTTTTAATAGTTTCGGTATGAATATATTCAGAACCTTAGCCTCTTGGAGAGAATTTGTTGTATATTCGTGTCCAGCTAAAAGATGCAGCCTTTTTATTTACAAATGTTTTCGTGATTGCTCTAAGCTTGTCTCAAATAATTGGGTTGTCCCTGTACATATTTCTTCAACCTCAGTTACTTTTGAACATGGATTTGGATCAAACCTGATTGGTCTCGATAATTATTATCTTTTACCTATTGTTATATTTCTTAGGTAACCTGACTTGTCAAAAAACAGTTAGTTCTTGAGAAACCTGATACTGTTAATATTTTCTCACTACAACAAATTCGATTATCAGGGACAAATGATTTCGTCATTTATAAATTATATTTCGTCACTAAAATTCTTGTGAGACGAAAAATAATTTGTCACTCAGTCGTCACTAAATGTGTGTCTCTAAAAGCATACAAAGACGATTTAGTGCTTCGTCGCTAAAAGTATTATATTAACTACAAAAAGAAAAATCGTCCCCAAATGCTTAAACATTTGTGACAAATTCATTTGTCGTAAAAAGTATATTTTTTGTAGATAATAGTATGTTTTGTCACTAAAAAGGTTATTACTACCGACAAAATTATATTGTCGCTAATGACTATATTTTATATACCCAAAATTATTTTGTTATTAAATGTATTAATTAGGGACAATTTTATTATTATAAAAAAGATTAATTTTCTTATTATCCTCCCCCCACCTCCACCCCCACCCATCTCAAATTTATTTTAAACTCCTCCCTAGGAGCTCCCACATCATGCTTTCTTGGGGATTTGAATTCACAACCTTAAGGTTGGAAGTGAGGAGTGCTTACCATCAGATCAACTCTCTTTTGTCTCTCATTTTTAATTTATTTTCTACTTCATTCACTTCTTTCAAATTTAACTTTTGTAGATATAATATATTATATGATTATTTATACACATACATAAGTGCATGAAATTTACCACCACAATTCATTCAAATGTAGATTATATTTTAATTAAACTGTATATTTTTTAACATATCTTTAAATATATTCAGTACGATTCTGTTATTTTATTCAGTTATTTTATAAATTTTAAAAATTATATAGTACAATTATAAATTTAAATAAAATTAAATTTTCAATTTTATTTAAAAAATTGAATAATCGGTTCAATTCGGTTAGTAAATCAATTGTTTTGTAAAAAAAAAAACATCGATACCCATAACTATAGTACTTCATCATAGTATATTTGAAATCCTAGGTTGTTCGTTTCTTTCATTTGTGCTTTCATTTTTTTAGTTTATTTCGATTTTCACACTGATGGAAAAGTTAATAGAAATTCATGAAATATTTCGTTCCTTTGCAAAGTCTAAGTTTGTAAGTCGATGTTATCTCTGTATAGTTGATCTACATGCATTTGTGAAATTACTATTAAATAACTACATATTTTTAGACAGAAGCAAATAGATCGACTTAGTCTATGCAGTTTATCAATCACAAATCAATAGACACTCACAAAAATTAGCACCAAGACTTGAGAAATTATTTTTTCTATCGTCTTTATCGATGAGAGTGTATCAAATAAAAAACAAAAGTGTTAAACCAACAAATATTAGTGATCTAGTGGTAGAATCGTACCCCACTCACGATACTTATAACCTGGATTGTATTTTTGAAATGATGCATAATTGTGTAATTTAAGAAAATTCATGAATTGAACTTTTTCATTTTTACAAAATGGACCGAATTCGTTGGTTTTAATATTTTCCCTCACCAATTAACGAAAGGACTCTGTCTATTTCTTATGAAGCACTTATATTATTCTTTTTGTAAGTTGTCACTTGTAATTATGAACAATTGTAGCAAAAACAATTGTATTTAGCTATGAATTTTTTTCGTAGCAAATAGTTGAATTATTCACTACAAATTTTAAGTCGTCGCTATTAAACACCTTACATATTTCATGACAATTTTTTTGTTATCACTGAATCACAGATTGTTTAGAGACAATAAAATCTTTGTCACCAAATATTTATACTATTAGTGATGAAAATAAATATCATAATTAAAGTTAAATTCTTATAGCTAAAACTTATAATATTTAACTACGAATTCTAATTTGTCGATATTGTAACAACATATTTTTTTTAGATGAAATTTTTTTCGGTAAAAAAATCAATAAATTTTAAGACAAAATAATTTGTCATGAATTAGATACATTATTAGTGACGAAATAATGTGTCACCGATAACTTTAAATTCGTGACTAACACTACTTAACAAATGGCGCCAATTAATTTTTTGGTGGGAAACTTTAGTAGACGAAACTTTGCTACGGTTTTTTTGTTTCGTCACTAAAAGTATGTGTCTCATATATTTAAGCACGAAAAGTAAATTTTGTCACTAAAAGCGAACAATTAGTGACAAATTTGATGTCGTAGCTAATAATTTCGTAGCTATATATCATATTTGTTGTAGTGATAGTAAGTGTATAAAAGTTGCTCTTTTTATTTAAAATTTCTGTTTAGAACATATAATTTGGCCAACAACTAACTCAAAGCTCAAATTAAGCCAATATGTTACACAGCCTTGTCATACTTAAAGTCGATGCATCGCCAATAATAACATATTTCTACTATATAAAAGAGTGAAGTGGTAGGACGACCAAGGGTAAAAATGTAATTTCATTTTAACAAAAATCCATTAAGAAAGTAAATAATTCTAGAAACATCTTTCTATATATGAAGTGAATAATGATCAAGGGTAAAAATGTAAGTTCACGCTAACAAAAATCTACCAAAAATGATAACAAGAAAATTAAATAGTTCTAGAAACATTTTTAGTTACTGTTATTACCATTAGTTTATTTTGTTATTACTTCACTTTCTTTTCTTTTGTGAGTTATTGTGATATCTATTTATTACTCTATTTTACTATTACTTTAATTTAATTTTTTTATATTTTTTCTATTCATTATGCTTATAAAAAATGCCTACTTTTAATATAAAATTTATTATGAATTAATTATTTTCACCTTTATTTAGGCTCTAATTAATATACTTGAAAATAAATAAGTGTGATAAAATTAATAATATATATTAAATTGAAATTAAAGAAAAGGATGTTAAAAAGTAACTTTACAAATAAAAATGAATAGGATGATATTTTTGCATTTAAGACGATCAAGAATAAACATGTAATTTCATTCTAACAAAAATCTATTAAGAGATAGCAAGAAAAATAAATAATTCTAAAAACATCTTTATATATATGAAGTGAATGATGATCAAAGGTAAAAATGTAACTTCATGCAAACAAAAATCTACCAAGAATGATAACAAGAAAACTAAATAGTTCTGGAAACATCTTTAGTTATTGTTATTAATAGTAATTCATTTTGTTATTATTTCACTTTTTTATGAGTTATTGTGATATCTATTCATTACTCTATTTTACTATTATTTTAATTTAATTCTTAATATTTTTTCTATTCATTATACTTACTAAAAATGCTTACTTTAATATAAAAATTCATTATTTAAAAATATAATTAATTATTTTCACTTTTATTTTAGCGCTAATTAATATACCTGAAAAGAAACAAGTGTGATAAATTACTAATATATATTAGATTGATATTAAAGAATAAATAAAATTAATTTCAATATTTAAAAATATATATTTTCAAAGATGTTAAAAAGTAACTTCACAAATAAAATGAATAGGATGGTATATTTGCATTTAAAGTAAACTAAAAATGTTTACTAGATTATAAAAGAGTAGTTCTTCATTAAATTATATAATTAAATTTTGCTTTTATTTGATTTCAAACATATTAATCTGAATAGTGAACTAATGTAAGTTTGATTTAAATTTAAAGTTGTCCGGCCAAAATTTTGTATTATTCTTTTATAGAAATACAGAAATATGAAGTTGAGGACGATGAAGGATAATATGGTCATTTCATATATATTTCATTTTAAAATTCCATAAATTCTATTTTTAAATTTGTAAAAATATTTTTTCAAGTGGCTAAATTTCCTCCATAAGTTACATGATTATTCTAGAAACTATAAATTATAAGATTTTTCTAGAATTAACTATGACACAAATAATTAGACACTAACTCATTTCACTCCTCAAGTTTCTCCCCTCTCATGTCTTATACCAATAAATTTCTCTCCCTTTATTTCTAATTTGCATCCTAAATATTACACACTTTAGTATAGATCTCTTATTAGGAAGACCAATAATGCATTTTTTTTCAACATTAAGAACTTTATTTTTGATCAATTCCCTACCTAATGACCCTACTTTTGTAAAATAATTATAAGACAAAAGAAAAATTAGCTATTTCTTGGTGAACACATCACTTTTGGGACTTGTCCATATAACAAATTTTCAGCAAAATTCAACTGATCCATATTTTTCAAACACTCTAATGAACATGATAATGGACCAGTTAACATGTTAAATCCAATATCAATTCTCAAAAGGCCTAATTCATAAGGAATGCAACCAGTGAGCAAGCTCTTCAAGAACTAAATTTTCAATAATTTCGAAGCATGTTATGTCCTTTCCTTTGGTTCTCTTTAGACTTTTCAATTTCATGGTGTTGCTTTTCTTTTTGGATTGTAAAGATAATTTTTGAAGTATCTAATTTACTTGATTTCTCTTTCTATGTATAATCCCAAAACTTCACGTATATATATATATATATATATATATATGTCATTATATAATTTATTGAGAAACATATATTTATTTATTACTATTATTTTATCATCAGTTAAAATCATTTTAAGCAAGTTATATAAATTATTATTTTAACCACCTCATGTTGAATTATTGCAATATATATTATATTAACTTTTGTTAATATTTTTAAATACTTATTAGTTGAGGTAAGACATTCATTCATCAGGTATATAAATTAATTTTAAAAAAATTCCTTACTATACAAATTGTTCTCCTAATTTTAATGAATATAAAGACAAGATAAAAAATCATAACTTTTTTCATCCTTTTATCACTTTGTAAAGAATGAGATGATTCATTCTAATTTTCATTAAGTAGGTCATTATTTTTGTTTTTTAAACACCTATAAAACAAATTTTAAGTGTATTCAAAATTAATCTATAGATGGATCAATATGCTTTATTGCTTCATATAGTTTATGAAAATTG